CACATGAGGATTGCAGGATCCTCCAAGAGGACCTGAACAGGTTGCAGAGATGGTCAGAGAAATGGCTACTGGAATTCAACACGAGCAAATGTAAAGTTATGGAAATGGGACTAGGAGATAGGAGACCAAAGGGACAGTACACAATAAAGGGGAACAGCCTACCTGTGACGACGCGCGAAAGAGACCTGGGTGTGGACGTAACACCTAATCTATCTCTTGAGGCACATATAAATAGGATAACGACAGCAGCGTACTCTACACTGGCAAAAGTTAGAACATCATTCAGAAACCTAAGTAAGGAGGCATTTAGGGCGCTTTACACTGCCTACGTGAAGCCAGTCTTAGAGTATGCCGCCTCATCATGGAGTCCCCATCTGAAGAAGCATATAATGAAACTGGAAAAGGTTCAGAGGTTTGCAACGAGACTCGTCCCAGAGCTACGAGGGATGGGGTATGAGGAGCGCCTGAGGGAACTGTGCCTTACGACACTAGAAAGAAGAAGGGAGAGGGGGGACATGATAGGAACGTATAAAATACTCAGAGGGATTGACAGAGTGGACATAGACGAAATGTTTACACGGAATAGTAACAGAACGAGAGGACATGGATGGAAGCTTGAAACTCAGATGAGTCACAGAGATGTTAGGATGTTTTCTTTTAGCGTGAGAGTAGTGGGAAAATGGAATGCACTTCAGGAACAGGTTGTGGAAGCAAATACTATTCATAATTTTAAAACCAGGTATGATAGGGAAATGGGACAGGAGTCATTGCTGTAAACAACCGATGCTCAAAAGGCGGGATCCAAGAGTCAATGCTCGATCCTGCAGACACAACTAGGTGAGTACACATGCATTCACATACATTTGTCTCTTTTACTCTGACAGAGTGAGATAGCTGATAGAGAAACTAGTGTGCAATTAAGCACTTAATCACTGAAAGTAATTAAGGTGCTTTTACAAGCTCAGGTTATATAGTTACATCACATACATACATTGTATAATTGATACATTACATGGTTAATCTTGGATACAAGTCCAATATATCATCAAGTGTTCCAGTACTCATATAGTAATTACACAGTTCAGCATATCTTAGCCCAGGAGGGCGAAAGTCAGTCAATAAGGGACATTCTACAATATAATGTTCAAGAGAGTGCATGTTTTCTCTTTCACAAAGTTAACACATTGTGTACTCGACATTTGAGTTTTGAGAAAGGTGCCAGATACGTCTATATCCCAGGCGTATTCTGGCCACTATAACATCACATTGCCGGGTTCTTGTTCTATTAGTCTCATATGTGAATGTCTCCTCACGATATCTATCATAATATTTAATGCTACAACTTTCAGGTCTTTGAGAATTTGTTAGGTCGGTGAGATCTTCATTAGATATTTGTTTAAGTATTCTCTTTGTCACTGTTAATGAAACACCCATATCAATTTCTACCACTGGTTTTCTACAGGCTGTCTTAGCAAGCATATCAACAGTATCATGCCTTGAGATGTGGAGAGGAGAGAGATAATGTATGAGAGAAGTCAAACCATGCAACACTACATGTATGTGAGTCAAAACACCCATTTCACTTATGGTAAAAGGAGAAATGCTTGGAGTGACTCTGTGTACATGCGGCTCAGGCTTGGGTACAAATATTACTGGGAATATGGGATAGATGTTCATGGTAATGACACGAAGTGTAAACTATGTGGTATGTTAAGGTCTCACACCCTTGCCCATTATATTCTTGATTGTCCGTTGATTAATGTATATAGAAACACTGAGATAAGGACTGTTCCTGAACAAATAGCCTGGATGTGTCACAACGGAAAGGTTGATGATATTCTTGAGAGATATAAGAATTTTGCACCAAGATTGTAATATTTTGTTGAATTATCTGCAGGTGTCTTGCAAATTGTCTATACAGTATACCTAGGTCATAAAAGTATTTGTGTGTACGTCTGATACCATACTACTTGTGAGGGAGGAAATGTATATTTTTACCTCTCAGAATGTTTGGTAATGTGTTTATTTGTGATGTGTGTCTATGTATATATTAACACGTTGTACTGAATGGGGTGAGAATAGCTTGAGCTACCTCATCCCTTTGTGTGTATTTTACCTCAATAAACTTATTTCAATTTCAATTTCAATTTCAATTGACGCGCTTCATTGCTGTATGTACGAGTGAAGATTGTTCAAATATGTTACATGCACATCCGGTACATCGTCCACCTTCTTCTACAGAGCCGTCGGTATAGCACTGATAAACATCGTTACCCAGACTCTGAGTACTTTCAGTGATACTTTTCAGTGTTAACTGTTTTAATAATGTAGAGTGCACACTATCTTTCTTGGGCGCATTTGCAAAATCAACTGATAGATCCCAGTTATCCCATGGAGTAATTGGTTGATTAATCATTAATTAAGTTGGGTACATATTTAATATTTTGATGGAGTTGGCTATCTTGTAAAACCAAAATACATAATCAGATTTCGTTCTTCTTCTATAGACCTCAGGTGAGTGCAGCATATTAGAAAGTTTAGCTTGAAACTTCATGTGTTGTCTAGATCTACTCAATGCCTTCACGCCGAAAACTGTGCTAATAGACAAAATTCTCTCACTTATGGTAGGTAATTTTAACTCTGCTCTCATATTAACTATTCTCGTGGACTTTGGAGCCCCAAGGATGAGACGCATAGCTTCATTTTGCAAGGTTTCAAGAGATTTCAGCTCTTTGTCAGTATACAGTGTGAGATGTAGAGCATTGTAGTCAATCACAGAGCGTATAAATGATACATAAAACATTTTAGCAAGTCTCACGTTAATTCCATGATTGACACCAACAAGGACCCGCAAGGGCTTTAATCTCTCCCACAGTCTCCTCTTGAGAGAAGAAAGGTACCCAGGGTCGTTAATGGGGACACCAAGGTATCTGTAAGACTCGCAGTTCTCAAGTGCTCGCCCATCTATATGATAATTGGCTGGTGGAATACCACATGGAATGAGGGCACGAGTTTTCTGTACAGAGATAAGGAGGCCACATTCCTCAGCTCTAGTAGCAAAAGCGGATGGAGAGTCTGCGGCCTTGAGGACGCATGCGCCCTTTCATGGGGCTCAGTGCAGCCTTCGAAAGCTATTTAAAATTCATGTGAACTACTAGTAAAATCTTGTATAATTATTTAATTATATAATTAATTATAATACATGTACAGTGGCCTTACCCTAGATATGTTCCAGTGCTGACAGATACACGAACCTTCCTGTACTAGGTAGATACATTGCTGTGTATACAACCCGTCCTCTTAAAAATAACGTCTATTAACGTAAGTTAATCTTCTTCCGTGTTAATTTCACTACTGATTTTTGTATCATCGGCACATTTGCAAATGTTGCTACTAAATCTAAATCATTAATATATATTATTATAAACAACAGAGGTAACAGTAATAGTTTAGTTTAGTCATACCTGCGCGTTGCAAGAAAAGTGACGCTTACAGTACCCGGGGACACTTCAACAGGTGCGAATCACGGGTCTTAAGATAAATAAGCTTGGACAGTACGGCTAGCCCTACTGTTAAAAAATACATCTTAAATATTCATGAAGCAAAAAATAGAACCCTTCTCAAGCCGCTGTTTACCATACCCATTGCGGACAGGTAAATATCCTTTCATTGTATGTTGACTTTATGAAAAAGAAGAGAGTTATTCATCTGAATTGATTTGTGGTGCTCCCCTACTTGAATTATTGTATCCAAGCTTAGAAACCTCATCTTCAGAAAGACATATCTGCTTTGAAGAAAGTTCAATACGGGCGACGAAGATCCTTCCAGAATGGTTGAGGGCCACAGGGCAGCACTGCAAACTAGATATGACAGAGATGATCTCATAAAAACTTTTAAAATACTGAACAATTTTGAGGACATTTTACACAAAAACTCGTCTTTTTATTTTACACAGGGAAACACTAAATTTATGAACACGTAAGAAAATTAAACTCAGAACAAATGCACGAGTGTGTATATAAACGACGAATCTTTGAGTTCTTCTATATAAAAGAAAACAGAACATAACTTGGCCAAAGAAATTAAGTAAAAAATCACAAGCATTGCTCTAGTGATCAGCCGGAATATTTTATAGTAATAATAATAATCATGCAGAACTGTAGAAGGCCTATTGGCCAATACGAGGTAGCTCCTATTTATAACCACCCAATCCCACTCATATACATGTCCAATTAACTCACGTTTGAAACAATCGAGGGACCCCACATCCACCACGTTACGCGGTAATTGGTTCCACAAATCAACAACCCTGTTACCGAACCAGTATTTACCCAAGTCTTTCCTAAATCTAAACTTATCCAATTTATACCCATTGTTTCGTGTTCTGTCTTGTGTTGATACTTATAATACCCTATTAATATCCCCTTGCTATGTCCATTCATCCACTTGTAAACTTCTATCATGTCACCCTTAACTCTTCGCCTTTCCAGTGAATGCAATTTAAGCTTTGTTAATCTCTCTTTATATGACAGGTTTGTAACTTGTTATCTTAGAATTAACTTTGTCATCCTACGCTGGACACGTTCAAGTGAACTTTTATTCATTCTATAGTACTGCGACTAAAACTGAACTGCATAATCCAAATGGCTGAACTAAGGACGTTTGATAAAACGCCGGCTTCTTTTTCTTATCGAGGCCACTAAAGAGATAGTGGTCCTCAAGTAAATTCAGGGAACGTACCGTTTCTTAGGGAGGTGGACCAAATCAGAGAACACACAGCACTTTCTCATAATTAATTTGAGAATTATTTGAATAATTACGCTTTAATTTGTTTAATAGTAAATATATTGGATATTTACCTATGGGACACTGCACTATTTGGATATAGATCCAAATATAGTTGCTTCCGAAAGAGATGCAATGTCAGGAGGGCAATCTAGGCGATAAAAATGAGAGTTATCCCTGTGAGGTACAGAAAACTATGCCAAGTTTTCTATGGTGGTGGGCTGCAGCCAATGGGGAAGGTCCAACGCGACGTAAACAACAGCAGGCGGCCAGCTGACGACGGCACGCAGGGTGACGCCGGCCACGCCATCCACCATTGTATCTCCTGCTATATTAGCCTTATTTCTGCCACCACAATGAAGAGCGTTTTAGCCTTCTGGTTGTTGTGCGGGGTGGGGGCGACGGAGGTGCTGAGGCCGCGTGGAGTGGTGCTGTCCAGTGAGTGCTGCTGGAGGCCGCTCTAGCACCTATCACTGCTCTTGTGCCCAACTTGTATTTTTATTTTTATTATTATTTTATTACAGTATATATATTAACAAAATATAATGTCTATCGATATTGTAACTAATAGACAGAATGCACTACACGGCTTAGTATGCAAGGCCTGATTTGCCTAATAGACAGTGATTTTCATTAGATTCAAAAATTAGTTTCCAATTGGGTTATTTAAATTAATATTATTATATTATATTAGGAACATGAATTACTGACTTAGTTATGATAGGTCAGTTTAGGGTAAGAGAGGTTAAGTTAGGTTAGTTAAGATTTGGTCATATTTCTACATTAGGTTTAAATCAAATTAAAAATAATAAAATCATATATTATGTAATGTAAAGCTTTATCATCTCACAAGAAAAAATATTTAGCAACACACACAACTTTGAGAAAACTCGGCTTATTAGGCAAATCGGGACATGTATTTTACAATATAGACATATAACAAAGTCTATATTGTAAAAGCATTTTTAGTAAAACATTAATGTTTCAAATTACAAATCATGTAATTTGAACTTTAGTCATGGTTCGTATTATTTAGATCCATTTTTGGTAGATCAGTTCAAAGGGAATTTGAGTGGGATCATTGATACATTTATCTCAATAATACCTTATTAATACTATATTCTCTTATCTCATTAAGACATTGTTTCTCACCTCACCTCATTCCTGCTTATATATCCACACCACTGAATTGTAAATCCATCCTTCTGAAGATGTATTATTAAATACAAAGGTACTCAAGGAAATTTCAAACAGTGGTAGACAGTTGGAACAAGCTTAGCTCTCATCCTGTAACTACACTTAGGCAATTACACTTGGTAATTACACACACACATCTAGGGTGGACAGAGCAGAAGAGATGAAAATCATAGAAAAGTAGGTTTAGGAGAAGGCCTCAATTCAAAGGAAAATGTCAGAGATTTTAGGAGAATAGGAAAATATGAGAAAGACAAAAACTGCCCCTTAAGGGTGATATTTAATGGAGTGAAACCAATGATGGAAGTGTTTAGAAATGCCAGGAAATTGCTGAGTGATGAGGTTGGTAAACTTTGGTCAATAAGACAAAGACCTCTCAAAGGAAGACAGGGACAAGCTTAAAGCAAAATGAAATATAAGAAATGAGATAAGACATGAAACTTGATTTTTTTTTTTTAAAGAGGTACACTGTATTCCCAAGGGGCTTTTGATACAGTACCACATGAAAGACTGATTAAAAAGATAGAGGCTCATGGTATTGGGGGTGCTATATTAAGCTGGATTAGGGCATTGCTATACCAAAGGAAACAGAGTTTTAGTATAAATGGAGTCAAGTCAGAGTGGGAAAATGTTGTAAGTGGAGTGCCTCAAGGCTCTGTCCTGGGACCTCTGTTGTTTATAATATATATAAATGATTTGGATTCAGGTTTGAGTAGCAACATTTGCAAATTTGCCGATGATACAAAAATCGGTAGGGAAATTAATACGGAAGAAGACTCGCTATCACTTCAAGTTGATCTAAATAGTTTTGAAATGGTCAAAGGATTGGCAGATGCAGTTTAATGCTGATAAATGTAAAGTTCTGAGGCTAGGTAATGATGATAGTTAAAAGATACGAGCTAGATGGTGTTGAGATTGCGAAGTCGGATTGTGAAAGGGATCTGGGAGTTATGATTAGTAAGAATTTAAAACAAAAGGATCAATGCATGAATGTTCGTAATAAGGCGAATAGGACACTGGGATTTATTAATCGAAGCGTTAGTAAGAAGATACCTGGTGTGGTTCTTAGGTTATATCTAGCTCTGGTTAGGCCCTATTTAGATTATGCAGTTCAGTTTTGGTCGCTGTACTATAGAATGGATATAAATTCACTTGAATGTGTCCAGCGTAGGATGACTAAGTTGATTCTCCATATTAGAAATCTTATATATGAAGAAAGATTAACAAAGCTTAAATTGCATTCACTGGAAAGGTGAAGAGTTAGGGGTGACTGATAGAGGTTTACAAGTGGATGAATGGACATAACAAAGGGGATATTAATAGGGTATTAAAAGTATTAGCATAAGACAGAACACAAAACAATGGGTATAAATTGGATAAGTTTAGATTTAGGAAAGACTTGGGTAAATACTGGTTCAGTAACAGGGTTGTTGATTTTGGTGATATGGTACAACAGTTTTGGATGAGGTGAACAAACTTGTGACAAACACAAGACAGAACACAGAACAATGAGTATTAATTGGATATATGAGAGCATAAGAATGGAAGTAACTGAAAAGGGCCTATTGGCCCGTACTTCCTCTTCGTGCTTCTATATTGGTACGGAGTCTTGAAGTGGGTAGAGCGGAGGTTTCCACACTGCAGTCTACACTAAGGAAACAAACATAAGAATGTGCCTCAATGCCAACAGTGACTGCCCAGACAGGTACAAGAGGAGTGTTGTCAACACTTACGTCGATTGTGCTCTCAGCCACAGCTCAGGATGGAAGCAAGTCGATGAAGAACTCTGTAGGGTAAGGCAGGTCCTAGTTAACGGCTTCTCCAATGGTTTTGTTGAAGACATCATACCTGGTTGATACCTGGTTGATGGGGTTCTGGGAGTTCTTCTACTCCCCAAGCCCGGCCCGAGGCCAGGCTCGACTTGTGAGAGTTTGGTCCACCAGGCTGTTGCTTGGAGCGGCCCGCAGGCCCACATACCCACCACAGCCCGGTTGGTCCGGCACTCCTTGGAGGAATAAATCTAGTTTCCTCTTGAAAATGTCCACGGTTGTTCCGGCAATATTTCTTATGCTTGCTGGGAGGACGTTGAACAACCGCGGACCTCTGATGTTTATAGAGTGTTCTCTGATTGTGCCTATGGCACCTCTGCTCTTCATTGGTTCTGTTCTACATTTTCTTCCATGTCGTTCACTCCAGTACGTTGTTATTTTACTGTGTAGATTTGGTACTTGGCCCTCCAGTATCTTCCAGGTGTATATTATTTGATATCTCTCTCGGCTTCTTTCTAGTGAGTACATTTGGAGGGCTTTGAGATGATCCCAATAATTTAGGTGCTTTATTGCGTCTATGCGTGCCGTATATGTTCTCTGTATTCCCTCTATTTCAGCAATCTCTCCTGCTCTGAAGGGGGAAGTGAGTACTGAGCAGTACTCAAGACGGGACAACACAAGTGCCTTGAAGAGTACAACCATTGTGATGAGATCCCTGGATTTGAAAGTTCTCGTAATCCATCCTATCATTTTTCTGGCTGTCGCAATATTTGCTTGGTTATGCTCCTTAAACGTTAGGTCGTCAGACATTATTATTCCCAAATCCTTTACATGCTGTTTTCCTACTATGGGTACATTTGATTGTGTTTTGTACTCTGTATTATGTTTAAGGTCCTCATTTTTACCGTACCTGAGTACCTGGAATTTATCACTGTTAAACATCATGTTATTTTCTGATGCCCAGTCGAAAACTTTATTAATATCAGCTTGAAGTTTTTCAATGTCCTCAGCCGAGGTAATTTTCATACTGATTTTTGTGTCATCTGCAAAGGATGATACGAAGCTGTGACTTGTATTTTTGTCTATATCTGATATGAGAATAAGGAAAAGCAGTGGTGCAAGGACTGTACCCTGAGGTACAGAGCTTTTCACTGCACTTGGACTAGATTTTATATGGTTGACAGTTACTCGCTGAGTCCTGTTTGACAGAAAACTGAGTATCCAGCGTCCTACTTTACCGGTTATTCCCATTGACTTCATTTTGTGTGCTATCACGCCATGGTCACATTTATCGAAAGCCTTTGCGAAGTCCGTGTATATCACATCAGCATTCTGTTTCTCTTCTAATGCCTCAGTGACTTTGTCGTAGTGCTCAAGTAGCTGTGAGAGGCACGATCTTCCCGCTCGAAATCCATGTTGGCCTGGGTTATGAAGGTCATTGGTCTCCATGAAATTGGTGACCTGACTCCTAATCACTCTCTCAAATACTTTTATGATGTGCGATGTTAGTGCAACTGGTCTATAATTTTTTGACAATGCTTTGCTCCCTCCCTTGTGTAGAGGGGCTATGTCTGCTACTTTAAGTGCATCTGGTATCTCCCCCGTGTCCAAGCTCTTCCTCCACACTATACTGAGTGCCTGTGCTACCGGCACTTTGCATTTCTTTATAAATATTGAATTCCATGAGTCTGGACCTGGGGCCGAGTGCATGGGCATGTTTTCAATTTCTTTTTCAAAATTTAGTGCGCTCGTGTTTATATCAGTTATATTTACAGGGGTTTAAATATCCCGCATAAAGAAATTGTCTGGATCTTCCACCTTCATGTTGTTTATTGGAGTGCTAAACATGTCCTCATACTGCTTTTTTAGGATTTCACTAATTTCTTTGTCATCCTCCGTGTATGAACCTTCACTTGTACGAATAGGTCCAATACTGGCAGTGGTTTTTGCTCTGAAGAGCCCCTGAACAGTCAACTAACACAACACCTGTAACCTGTACCCCCCTATTAGACTACAGTATTTTACAGGAACTTCTTTTCGACAGCTCATAAAACGGAGGAAAGGGTCCTGAAAGATAGTGTGTGTGTGTGTGTGTGTACTCACCTATTTGTACTCACCTATTTGTGCTTGCAGGATCGAGCATTGACTCTTGGATCCCGCCTTTCCAGCTATCGGTTGTTTACAGCAATGACTCCTGTCCCATTTCCCTATCATACCTAGTTTTAAAAGTATGAATAGTATTTGCTTCCACAACCTGTTCCCCAAGTGCATTCCATTTTTCCACTACTCTCACGCTAAAAGAAAACTTCCTAACATCTCTGTGACTCATCTGAGTTTCCAGTTTCCACCCATGTCCCCTCGTTCTGTTATTATTACGTGTGAACATTTCATCTATTTCCACTTTGTCAATTCCCCTGAGTATTTTATATGTCCCTATCATATCTCCTCTCTCCCTTCTTTTCTCTAGTGTCGTAAGGTTCAGTTCCTTCAGCCGCTCTTCATATCCCATCCCTCGTAACTCTGGGACAAGCCTCGTCGCAAACCTCTGAACCTTCTCCAGTTTCTTTATGTGTTTCTTCAGGTGGGGGCTCCATGATGGCGTGGCATACTCTAAGACGGGTCTCACGTAGGCAGTGTAAAGCGCCCTAAAAGCCTCCTCATTTAGGTTTCTGAATGAAGTTCTAATTTTCGCCAGTGTAGAGTACGCTGCTGTCGTTATCCTATTTATATGTGCCTCAGGAGTTAGATTAGGTGTCATATCCACTCCCAGGTCTCTTTCTCGAATCGTTACAGGTAGGCTGTTCCCCTTCATTGTGTACTGTCCCTTTGGTCTCCTGTCACCTGATCCCATTTCCATAACTTTACATTTACTGGTGTTAAACTCCAGTAGCCATTTCCCTGACCATCTCTGCAGCCTGTGTGTGTGTGTGTGTGTGTGTGTGTGTGTGTGTGTGTGTATAAATAAATAAATAAAATATGCATCTATGCGAATCCTTCACTGCAACAAAATTGGTCCCATATAGTTCATTGAATCGGGGTTGTACAGTACTATAATTACACTTAGGTCATTACACTAAAGACACACAACACATCAGGTATACATAACTGGAAGGTGGGGCATAAGGAGTCAGATCTCGCTTCCCTGTAGTCACTGATACGTAAGCACACAATTTAAGATTAATATTTACAAATTTTTCTAAACAGTAAATATTAATAAATGAATATTCATTATTTCAGAAGCATCATTCTATGACCCAAAGAGAGACTTCACCTGCCTTGATGGTTCTGGGACGATCTCATTTTCATACGTGAATGATGATTACTGTGACTGCCAAGATGGAAGTGATGAGCCTGGAACAGCTGCCTGTCCCAATGGTAATGAGATTTTCACATAAATCATACTTGCCTTAGCACAGTTAGAACCATTAAAGAAGATATTGTTTTATAAATTTTGAAACTTTTCTTATAGAAGAGTAAACAAAATATCACTTTGCATGCAATTTTGATGTGCAAGTACTTTTGGTTCATTCCCCCAAAACTTGCATAATAATACAGTATTTGCAAATAATATTTAATTAGAAACTTTTATATTAATAATGATTTCTTCAGTTTTAATATTATATTTAAGCATGCTTCTGGAAATAGCTGATGGTTATTTTGATGTTTACTTCTGTGCTAAATTAGCATTATTACCCCTTCATTTGTAATCTCTTTAATTTCCTACAATTTTAGTTTACCATTTTAATTTTGGTCAAAATTTATTTATCAGGATTCTTCCACTGTACCAATGCTGGCCACACACCTCTCAACATTCCGTCCTCGCGAGTCAACGATGGTGTTTGTGATTGCTGTGATGCTTCTGATGAGTATGCCTCCAGTGCCAGTTGTGTCGACACATGCCGAGAATTGGGCAAGGCAGCTCGTGAAGAGGCAGCCAAGCAAAGAGAGGAAAGGTTAAAAGGTTATCAGTTACGTCAGTCAATGATTGAAGAGGGCCGCAAAACAAGAAAGGAGGCAGAGGTTTGTGTGTATTTTGCTCTCAAATTTAGCTTTTTAGCCTTTTATTAGGATATAATACAATTTTCTAATATGCAAACTGCCAAATGCAACAGTTGGGGCATTCATCTAACAGATAAACAAAATAGAGAATGGCCTCGATAATCTAGAAATCCTGGTTCTAAATATTATATTCCTTAAAGACTTCAATCTACCCAGATTAAGTTAGACAATATCAAACAATAACATTATAACAGGAAATCAACCTGGAAATAACCAATCACAGGACTGAAATCTACTTAGCTTCTGTGACAGGTTTTTGCTCATCCAGCAGATATCAGAGCCAAATAGGGAAAAAAAAATCTCAATCTGATCTTCTCAAGCAATGACAAAATAATCAGGGACGTTACAATCTCAGATACTATATACTTAGATCACAAACTCATTGAAGTTCAAACTAATATCAATACTAGTACAGTATGTCCAAAAGGATTAAGAAGCAAGAAGGGCTATCTAACAAACATCAATATGACGTGTGTCTGACCTTGAATGAGGGAGGGAGCATCAGCTGACTGTGTGGCAATCTCTGTTGTTATCTGAACTCACCATACCAGCTTAGTTGTACAGTTATGGTGAACAAAACATGTAGATAATTATATATAACATCTGTATATAGTGAATAAAAGCATAAACAGTATGATGGAAGGATGAATGTTGGTGAGGGAGGAAAGGTTGCGGCATTTGCTGGCTGGTGTGTGGCAGCCATTCTTATTGTTTTGACTCACCATACCAACTTAGTGATATGTTATGGTGAGCAAAACATGCAGATCCTTATATATAACCTGTGTATACAGTGTAATAGCAGCAAAAGTATTTGTTTATTATTTTATGAACATTATAATTTAATCACTAATATGCACACACTACTTATGAGTATAGCGATGATTCACACATTTTATTATACTGTATAAATATTGTTCAGAGGAACCTCGGGTGATGAGCAACCTCATCTACAAGCATTTCAGGTAACAAGTGAGCCACTCACAAAAAATTTGTCTTCTTGATCAGCTTCCACTCGGTTAACGTGAAAACCACGTGGTGCTTCCTAGCGTTCCCATTGATTCTCACAAATTCTCTGACGCCTCTGACGACAGTATTATTGTTTTATCGCACAGGATAAGCATCCCTCTGCATTTATTTGTGCTTTTTTTTTTTTTTACTGGTTTAATTGTATTTCCATTATTTTAAATGGGGAAATTCGTTTTGCAAGACGTGCGTTTCACATAACGAGCTCGGTGCCAGAACTGATTAAATTCATTAACCGAGGTTCCTCTGTATATCACACTATTGAATAATATTACTGCAAACAAAAACAGAGAAAAAATTAATCAGACACATTGAAATATTTTTGCCAGACTTCCCCACCCTATTGTGGTCAAAATATGCCACCTAAGATTTAATTTTTTTATTTTCCCGTGATCAGGAAACACAAATGAACACTTATAAGATGATGATTTTTTTTTTTTTTTTTTTGCACCTGGTAGTGTTGAAGGCTATTAATAGTGGAGCAGCACAAGGTTTAATATCATACATAATTAAATTTTTTGAAAGAGTGACCATGGAGTGATAGCCCATAAAACAAGTTCAGTAGGAATTACAGATGAAGTAGGGCAATGGATGTTCAATTTCCTGTCAAACAGAATGCAAAAGTAATAGTTTTTCAAACAGAGTCAAGTACTGTACAGTGAAAAGCTCTGTACCCCAGGATGCAGTCCTTGCACCACTGCTTTTTCTTATCCTCATATCAGGTATAGACAAAAAACACTCGTCACAGCTTTGTGTCCTTAGCAGACAATACAAAAATTAGCATGAAAATTACTTCTGCAGAAGACATTGAAAAATTACAAGGTAATGTCAGTAACGTCTTATATTCAGCAATGAAACAAAAAAATTATGTTCAACAGTGATAAATTCCAGATATTTTGGTATGGTAAAAATGAAAAAATTGTATGAAATACAGGATATGAGAAACAATAAAGCATGAGAGCAAGTGTACATGGCTTAGGTGCACAGTTGAGTAAGTCTTGGGGTGTTCTCCTCAGACTTACTTCACCGAGTCTTGATCCATGTTGGTCATTGGAATCTCCTCAATGCAATGAAATACTTTTAAGGGACTCCTCTTGGGTCCTAATCACATTTGTAGTTAGTGACTTATAGGCAGTTCAGTCACTTTTGTGGTGACCTTTTCTTGGTTAGCTTGGTTAGAGGGGATATACAATCCTCTGCTACATATGCCTCTTTATGGGGGGGGGGGCCAGGTTTTGGCCTCTGGTCTCCATTAGGTTTATAAGACAAACAAGAGCGCCTGACAGCTGAATGGACAGCGCTTCGGATTCGTAGTCCTGAGATTCCGGGTTCGATCCCCGGTGGAGGCAGAAACAAATGGGCGCCATGTTTCTTTCACCCTGATGCCCCCTGTTACCTAGCAGTAAATAGGTACCTGGCAGTTTAAAAAGCTGCTACGGGCTGCCTCTTGGGGGGTGGGGGGGTGTAACAAAAAGGATGCCTGGTTGAGGACCGGGCTGTGGGGATGCTAAGACCCAAAATCATCTCGAGATAACCTCAAGAAGAAGGGCCTGGTGTGGATTGAATTGGGTAGATCTTGCCAGGTAGCAAGCACCAAGGAGCTACCAAGGACCATCAGAAAGAGGCATTTGGTCACATTCAATGCTGGTTATCGATTAATATTTACTAAATTTTTGTCCAGATTTTTCATATTTATAGCTTGCCAGGATCTTGTATTTGCAATATAAATGGTAAATTTTTCATATACTGTATTAGACTGAAGGGTAGGCACAAAAGACATTGATATGAAAGATGGACGTTTATGGTATAAGAAGGCACCTATTAAATTGAATAGGCCATTGTTATCGCACAGGAAACAGGCAACATGAATTAGGTAAAGAAAGAGTAAACAAAATTGTAAATTGAGTGCCCCAAGAATCTTGTCTTTGAATTTTTATTGTTTAACCATATTCAATATGGTTAAACAATATGCCTAACAATGGAGGCCAGGTCCAAAATTTCCACAGTAAGATAACAACATACTGGACCAAACATAATCTACCTTTACCAAACATAACCTAACGTATCAGAGGACCCAAAACAGAAAATGGGACAGTACGTCACTTTCACGAGCCACTTCCATTTTCTAGTAAGACAATTTTTGGCCTTATGTAATGTATACAATCAAAAAGCAACGTTCTTTGTAGGAGGACAGGTTGGGTGAACAGTAACATTAGTGTCACCAGTAAAGATACTAAAGTTCAGTAGAGTGGAAGGGAGGTATATTGTGGTCTAAAAAAAAATTGCAACATCTGAAAGCCCTTGATAAAAAAAAAATGTAAGATTAGAAACTCTAATGTACATTCTATAAGCAGTTGTCATATTTTTCATATTATATAATTGCATTTGGGGTATTAACATAAATTTTCCTTTAAGAAAAAAATTGAAGAACTAAAAAAAGAAAAGGGAGATGCAGAATCCACTCGTCTTGAAAAGGAAGAAATTAAGAAGACTGCTGAAGAACCAGAAAAGTTGGCATTGGAGAAGTACCTGGATGCCGAAGCAGAGAAGAAGGCCAAAGCTGAGGAAGAAGAGAAGAAAAAAGATGAGGCCGAGGCCAGGGAGGCTTTTGCTCATCTTGATAACAATGGTGATGGCTTTTTGACAATTGAAGAGCTCCAGTCCAGACAAACTTTTGATACAAACAGGGATGGACAGGTTTCCCAGGAGGAGGCAAAGGTGAGTGTACCTCTTGGCTCTCTCCATATATTTAAGTCTCTAGAAATATATATTAAGTATGAACAGTAGTATATTTAATCTTAAATATACTGTACAGAACCGTTTTATACTGTATATAGTATGAATATTCCCTTTGATCCTAAATATGCATTAGTGAAGAGCGACTGATTTACAATTACATGTACAGTAGTTAAAACCTACCTTGTTAAATGAATTAACAATTCTGTAACTTGAAAAAATCAAATGAAATGAGTTCTGTGGATATTTGATCAACCCTGATCAAATATCTACGCCTGACAGCTGGGTGGACAGCGCTTCTGATTCGTAGTCCTGAGGTTCTGGGTTCAATCCCCCAGTGGAGGCGGAGACAAATGGTCAAAATGTTTCTTTCACCCTGATGCTCTGTTCACCTAGCAGTAAATAGGTACCTGGGAGTTACAGCTGCTACGGGCTGCTTCCTGGGGAGTGTGTAACAAAAAAGGGAGCCTGGTGGAGGACCGGGCTGCGGGGACGCTAAGCCCCGAAATCATCTCAAGATAACCCTCAATTAGGACAGAAGTTATGTCATACTGTCCACCACACTAACCACTAGCATAACTTATACTCCCATTCATGTGGATATGTCATATCTACACAGAATATTTATTTTGATAATACGTTATTATGTAAATTAATTTAATACCTTGGGATTTTTGGCGAGAGGTAGTGAAGGGTAGAAATGTTGCATGCTTTATTGTGTAGTGTTAATGACAAATCTTTTGTATGTCATTGTATTACTATTCAGTTTAAAGTCTTTCTATGCTGAATATATACTACCTAACTAGATAACTAATGAAAGAGCATTAGTGGTTTAGTCCAAACACGTGGCAAACTGATGCCGACATTGTTCTCACAGTATAGTACACTGTTACGATTGCTGTCTCATTTGCTGACTTCCCACCTACAAAAGTTATTTTTGCACCTCCATGCACATACTAGATGGCCCATAGAACATTTTTATTAGGAATAATTGGAAGGCTGTAGGTTATATTACTTGAGAAATTCAAATTTTAATTTCGAGGGGGGCAAAGCCTAGTGGCTATTCCCAAGTTGGCGATTGAAGATTCTGCTGCTGGTTTTAGCACTTATAGAGACAGAGGTGAAGATGCTGAAACCAGGATGAGAAGAGGGAAGATGAATGGCTGCAGTTGCTTGGAGTACGGCAGGTAGCCCAAAGTTATATCATCAGTAAGCAAGCTCTGGATGGCTTTTCATTGGGGCAGAAAGTGACATTGTACTATGAGACTTGGTGGAGAGCGGATGCACAGGTTCAGCTCTGGGATTTTAGTAGAAATTGTCGATTTGTGAGGAAGGCCGAGACTTAGTGGAGTTCTACAGACCTTGTACCATCACAAAGAGCAAACTTGGTAACCTAGGAGAGGTTATTTCAACATTTTAAATTGCAAGTTGAAGCTGCAACAATTAAGAAAACTATTGATCTGGGACCAAAGAGTGATGTAAGAAGCTCAGCTGAGCAAACTACATTGTTCAGAGGACCTATGTGAAGGGCTACTCATCAGTTTACTTTGAATGTACCACATTTCTCGAGGAGAATCCCAGCCCAGAAGGTCTGGTATTGCTGAGGCAAGGAGTGCAATGAAATTGTTACATGCAAGAGTAACCCTAAGTTTGATTTCCCAGTAAAAGACAGTGAGGCAGATAGTAGAGCAGAAAATGCAGAATAGAACCAGTGAAAAGCAGGGGTGCCATAGGCACAATTAGAGAGAATTGTATAAACATCAGAGGTCCACGGTTGTTCAACACCCTCCCAGCGAGCATAAGAAATATTGCTGGAACAACAGTGGACATCTTCAAGAGGAAACTAGATAGTTTCCTCCAAGGAGTGCCGGGCCAACCAGGCTGCGGTGGGTATGTGGGCCTGTGGGCTGCTGCAAGCAACAGCCTAGTGGACCAAACTCTCACAAGTCAAGCCTGGCCTTGGGCCGGGCTTGGGGAGTAGAAGAACTCCCAGAACCCCATCAACCAGGTAATCAACCAGTGTGATAGTCTATTATCACACCTGAGAGATGTACACGTGAGCAGTAAGAGGCTACAATTAGTTTTGCCAGTGCCATTAGCATTTTTGAATTGAGCAGTGCAAGTAACTCAAGTGAGCAGAGACAGTGGTTTGGTAGTGGTACTCCTTGGAAGGGGGGGGGGTGACACTGGTATCCAAGTACAAGTATTTAGTGGTAGCCTTGTAGCAAGATCCTCTCTGAGTCGCAGTGACAAGGCACGGTGAGGATCTTGGGTTCTCATTAAGGCATTCACATGGCTGCAATTATCGGGCAGGTAGTCTGGATTACATCAAGCCTGCAGTAAACATCTTCACCAGTAAGTGGAGTGGTGATCGACACTAGTATCAAGCATTGTTGACAAGTTGTGGTAATAGTGCGCCATTGTCACGCCATGCTACTTTACCCGTGCACCATGGCAATGCTTTAGGGCTTTTTTTATTTCTTGAATTGCTTTCTGTTCTAGTTCCCTTTCTTCAATCTGATACGAATGCTTCAGTCTCTGTTCGATTTCTTCACTTTCCGTTTAAATGATTCCTTCTTTGTATGGAATGTCGTGTCTGTTTAAACATTTCCGTTATTCTTTTCTTCCTTTTGTAGTGTTGTCTGCGTTCTCTTTCTACATTGGACCTCTTTCTGGCTTTCCTCAAAGGCACATGTTTCAGACAGACTTTATATGCTACAGAAGTTAGTTTTTCTATTCCTTGTGTAGGATTTTTATTTCTTAGGACAGTTTACCATTGAATGTTTGTAAGGTCCCTGCTTATTTTCTCCGAGTCTATCCTTTTATTATTAAAATTGAATTTACTGAATAAGCCTTCTCGATTGTTGTTTCTCTTGGGCCTACTACCGTTATTAATGTTTGTTTGCAGTTCAATGATCTTGTGGTCCAAGTATATAGTATCTGAGATTGTAATATATCTGATTAGCTCATCATTATTTGTGAATATCAGGTCCAGCATGTTTTCATTCCTAGTTGGTTCTGTAATCTGCTGATTAACACTTTCGCGCGCTCGGCGCTCCAAAAAAAACAATACCCCAGATGCTTTCGGCACTTCGCGCGCCTACGCGGTAAGACCAAAAAGTGTACTCTCTTTTGACTGTCCTGACAATAATTGAAGGCGCACGTATTTAAATTTGGTATCACTGTGTTCGCAATGAAATTGTCTATAAGAGCATACCTATAAAATGCCGCCCAAGCATAAGGAGTATCAACACCAAATAAAAAACTATGCAGATCACTCGCCGAGAGCGCCAAACAGCAACAAAATGTTTCCACTCTCTTAATGGTTGCGAAGCCTACAGTTGTCCTACATCGCTAATTTTGGTATCATTGGAATCGCAATAAAATTCTCTACACGGACATATGCATATGAATGTTTAATATAGGTAATTGCCCACCCGCAAGAGTGTGTGAAGTGGAGAGTAGTTAGCCGCGAGCGCACTGGCGAAAACACAGGGGGGAAATCATGCTTGGAAAGTTTATACGTTTCCTGACCCTACTTTTCTATGTACGTATTTCTTTTTTATACCAATGTGTTCGCAATAAAATTTTCTATAAGATGAACTGTATAACATTGGTACAAAGCATGTCTAAGAGAAGCGCCAAATATAGAACCACGTCGCTCAGTATGCGTTCGCGGCAGAAACGAACGCATTGTTTTCGTTCGTTTGATGTTTGTCATGTTTATACTTGTTGAAACATTTTATAATTTGTATGACAGTGATCGCAGTAAAATTCCCTACACAGACATATACATAACACATACAAATATTTCCCACGTGTTGGATATATCAACGGCTAAAGGGAACCCACTGCCACACGCTCGCCACACCCCCAAACATACTTTGTGTATTTTTTTTTTTACTCATAGAAGTTTATGGGATATAATATTCATTCTGGTACCAAAACATTCGCAAATAAATTCTCTACAAAACAAAAGTATCCCCATCCATTTCGGTTAAAAAATGGAATTTATAGAAATATTTTTTCGATGGACGAGAAAAGTAGGCTGTTATGCGGAATCGTAAGAGAAAACGGCGACGAGTTATCTCTAATCTAAAGCGCGAAAGTGTTAAGCGAGAATTTGTCACAGAATCTCAATAGTTCCCAGTTCTCTGTCCTTTCCCTGTTGTTCGTCCTGCTCTCCCCCTCCGCCTGTTTCCAAACGTCTGAGGGTTTTGGAGTCAGGGTGAGGTTTAGTTGGTAATGAGACTCGGGTTGCTTCAGGGGCTGCCCCATCCGTGTTGGGGACGGAGGCATTTGTTCCTGCTGCTCCTGCCAAAGCTTCTGGGTCCTGCCAGCAGCCCCCCTTCTTTGCTGCCTTTTCCCCAGACTCTACGTTTTCTTCAGGGGTGAAAGGTGTGGAGGACGGCTCTGCCCCGGGGGTTTCCAGGGTCTCTGTTGGGGGATTCCGGATCTGTGGGGGAAGCCTGCTTGTAGTTCTGGGGCTGTTGCCCCTGCTTGGGCTTTGTCTTCTGTTTTTTTTTTTTTTTTTTTTTTTTCCTTCTCCCATCTTTGCTTTGTTTTGCCCCATTTGCTGGCGTGATTTCGGCTCCCTTGTGTCGGCTGCGTTTCCTTTTGTTGTGTTGTTGTGGTGGTCATTTTCTTTCTGCAGGTACTTTCCCGCCTCGCCGCCAGGGTGGCACTGCAGTTTGTTTACATGTGCCTGGGAGTTTGCGCTCACATTTTGGGGGCATTTTTCGGCACCGTCTGAGGTGTGTTCTCCTCCCGTTAATGTGTCTGTTTTGTTCTTTCTTTTGGGGTGTTTTGCCCTTTGTTCCTCTGTGAACATTTTTTTTTTTTTGGCCCAATTTTGTCCAATTTTGTTTTCTGTCTGTGTGTTTGGGTTCTGGGTCCTGGTTTTTGGGCCCAGTGTCCATGCCTGTCTGTTCTGCTTGCTCCCACAGCTTCTGACCCTCGGTTTTCGGTCTGTTTCTGGTTGTTTTGGCTAGAGGTTCTGTCTGGGTCTTATGTTTGGCCCTTCCCTCTGTGGTGCATTTCCGCCGGCAAATGTGGTGTTTTGGGCTCCCTCCTGGGTTCCATTGGGTTCTTTGGTTTTGTTCCGAAGGTTTTTTTTTCTTCCTCTTGGGTTCCCCTTTGGAGGTTCAGGTGGCCCTTGGTGGTTACCTCCTGTGCGCCCTGAACTTGCCTCTTCTGGAGTTCCATGGTCTTCCTAGCTTGCAGACTGCACTTCTAGGGTCGTGGCTTCTGCTTGTCGAGTTGGGCCTTGGGTGCAGCTTTTCCTTTGGAGCGGTCTTCGTCAGTTTGGCACGGTGCTCGCTCTGTTCGCAAGTCAGCTTCTTTTTTTCTTTTCTTTTTTTCTCGGAGGGGGTGGCAGGTGGCACTGGGGGGGGGAGGCTTGCTCTGTTTGCCCACACTTGGTCTCATGTTTCGTGAGTAGTTCAGGTCGTGTCCTCCGGCCTGTAGTGGTGTTGAGCGAGTCCTCCTCTTTCGCTCTGTCGGGTCACCTTCTTCAGGTCTTTAGTTCATTCTGGTTTTGTCCTGTCTGTACTGCTGGCTTCTGGATGACTCTGTCCCAGTTCCGACTTCTGTTGGGGCTGGGTTATTGGGTGGTGACTGACCCTTTGGGAACCAGACTCTGTTCTGGTTCCTCCGGGAATGCCCCTTCTGCCTCTCTTGCAGTCGCTGGGTTTGACCTCTGCGGGCCTTGCATCAGTTGCTGCGTCGCCTGCTTCCTCTTCCGGTTTTTCGGGGTTCAGTGCCTTTCGCCTATCCGAGCCCTCGCTTGATGTGTTCACTGATGCGTCGTCTCTTGGCTGGGGTTTTGTGACTAGTGCACACCCTTCTGGTCAGGAGCGGTGGGGTCCATCCCTCCGTCCGGCTCACAGCATGGTGCGGGAGTACGTGGCGGTTTGGCTGCCACTTCGGAGAGTTCTGGTTACTCGGGGTTCGACCTTCCGGTTCCATTCGGATTGTTCTCCAGTGCTTCATTGCTTGCACCACGGGGGGTTCCCTTCGGTCCTTGCCTCTTTGGGGCTGGTGCTTCAAGTGGCTTCTGGTTTCTCAGGGTTTGGTTCTCCGTGCGGTTCATATCCGGGGAGTGTCCAACGTTCTGGCGGACTGCCTGCTTTGGTTCATTCCTCTGTCCACGGAATGGATGGTTGACGCCAACTCCTTCTGTTGGCTCTGCCGAAGGTACGGGCTCCCAGAGGTAGACCTCTTCACAGTCTACCTCTGGGTAGACCGCCTCAGACATTTCCCAATGTCTGAGGCGCCTTCCCCGACTGCGGAGCCTTTGTGGTGCACGCCTTTCGGCAGGACTGGTCAAGGTGGGGTTACCTGTACCTCTTTCCCCCAATCCAGCTGTTACTTCGGGTTCAGGCTCTGTTGGAGTCTTTCCACAGGAGAGTAGTTCTCTTGGCCCTTTGTTAGCTTTGGCCGGCCACCGTGGTTCAGGTGCTGCTTGCTCGGTGTCCAAACTCAGGGTGGAGTCTGGTACACAGACTTGAACCAGTCCTGTACGCGGCTGATTTGGTCTTCTCCTCCACTCTTGGTCTTATTGATGTGGGTTTATCACCATTTGTATGGTAATCAGGTGACTGCTGTTGGCTCTCCCACCTGAGAGCCTCGTTTCTGTGAAAGTATGAAGTTTCCTGGCGTTCTTTCTGCCATTTTCTCTCTCTTCGTAGGTTGTCTTCTGTTTCTGATCAGGTTGTCTTGTCATTTCTTTCTTGACTTTTTCAGGACCGTCATTTAATACCTTTTACTGTCGCCTCGTATTGTGTAGTGAAGGTGAAGCCGCTCCAGCTTGTGTTCGGGGTGGATTTCACTTCTGCCCCATTTCATGAGCTTTCTCATGCTTTGTTTCGCCTCCAGCCTGCTCATGCACCACCTAAGCCGTCCTGGTCCTTGGACAGGGTGCTCTCTTATCTCTTCTCCTCGGTTCGTGGTGGCCCCTTTGGTTCAAGATTGTTTTACAAGGCTCTTTTTGTTGGCATTGGCTTATGAGGGTCAGGTTGGAGAACTTCATGCTCTTCTCCCGCAGAGGGGTTTCTGCTCGTTTGGTCCTGGTCAGTGGTTTGTTCGTTTGCAGCCTTCTCCTTTTCTGGCGAAGAACGAGATGGCTGCTTTCCGGAGGGGCCCTTGGGTTGTTGATGCTTGGTTGGCCATGCCGGGGGTATTTCATGGTTTTTTGTCCGGTTGCAACTCTTCTCCGTTACCTGCGTGCCTCGGCTTCTGTGGCCGGGTATGCCCTATGGATTGATCCAGTTTCTCTTGTTACCTGTTTCAGGGCTCGGGTCTCTCAGGTCTCTCAGGTCGTCCCCAGGGTTAAGTCAAGCCAGCCTGTGGTCTATCCTCGTGCCTGTGTCGTTCGGAAGTTACTGCTTTGGCTGCTATTTTCGCCAACATGTCTTTGGCTGATATTCGTGCGCGGGGATGTTGGAGGTCGAACAGGATTCTGGCCGCCAATTATTTGGTGAACATTCCTGGTCCTTGGCTTCCTTGTGCTGTTTTAGGTCGCTGGTTGCTGCCAGCTGTCTTGACTTCAAGTTTAGGAGCGAGTGGCAGCCGCCCCCTGGGTAAGTCCCTCTTTTCCTTACCTTTGGTAAGGTAACTCCAGGGAGCTAAAGGGGCTCCCCACAGAAAGCCACTTTCTTGGTGAGCTCCGGAGGCTCCCTGGCATCCTTCCTCCCTCTGGTCAGAAGGGTGCCTTTCCCTGGTGATGGCAAAGATGATATCACTTTAAATGTAAAGTGATCATAGGCCTCTCTGAGGGGGCCAGGTTCTGGCCTGTGGTCAATGGGGAAAACTGACTCGTAGGATTTATTGATTTATTTACAAATTACTAATTTATACAGGTATAGTAATTTATTTCTTACGCTAATTTATTTTTTGATAACGAAGTGTATGATGTTAATGTGGACTGTATGAGTTTATTCCCACAAATTGTTTTGTACACAAGCTGGGATTTTTATATTATATAGTCTATAAATTGAAATTATAGATTCATGGACATTTACTACAAATGTTAATACTAGGTTATACCACACTATAATGTAAACTTTAAGTTTTATCTGACTAGAAGGCTTCTACATTAATGGATGTAGAACACATGAGCAGCCAACCACATTCAGGTCTTGTGCTCATGGTGTCGCAATGGACAGTATGGGGGCGGTCAGTAATGTCGTCTTAACGCCACAATAGTAACTTCACTTCATAATTACCTGCCGACGAATCACACTGTAAATTTTGGCACATATAAATTATTTACATGTATATTAATGATAATCTTTAATGAAAGAGATGAGAATATTGCTTACCCTGGTGTTTGTTGTTTATGTATGGCATAACCATAACAGTAAAATTACACAATGAAATAAGAGCTCTACCAATCATGTAGTATATGGTACGGATATAATGCCTTTCCTGGATACGATGGTGTTGATTAGTGCTGTCTAACTCTTCGATGATAACTTGTTTGATGCAAATAATAGAGATGGCAACACGACACATTTGAACTGTCCAGGGTTAAAATGGCTATTCACTCCTCTCCCACTTACACATTCGGCTGTTCTCCAGATGTGTTTTATCAAGATGTGGAAAGAAGGGTTTATATTTAATCTATTTTAGTACTGATAATTAAAAGTTCATTTAAGGGAAATGGTTTTATGATGTTTACATTCCAGAGACTGATGTTTTAAGAAGAATTCCCAATATTATTAGCTGGTGAATTTAATAGCGACATGGCAATGATATCCCCCGTTTCCTTCCGGGGAAAATTTCACTGGACTCCTTTTCTATGAATAATTAAAGCACTATTTCTCAAGTTAATTTGCAAGTACAAAACAGCAGCAATATTAACTGCATATTGTATTGAAAGCTAGTAATGGTGTTGGTTTTTTCTACATTTTCTCCTGGTAGGCAAAAAGAACGTCGCAACTGATAACACTTGGTAGGATGGCATTTAATCATGGTAGCTTCATGGAGTCTCCGGGACTCACTCAGAAACTGGCATTTCATTACATTCAATGCTGGTTTTATGAATGGTGTTGCTAAAGATAAATTTTTTTTTAAATGTTTCAACATTCTTCATTTTTCTATAATTATTTGTACTTCTGGCAAGTGTGATGCATCATATTTCATTGTGATGAGTAAGGATAGGATGACCAAGTAAGTTTTTTCTAAAATATTAATGTCTACCCATAACAGTTTTACCTGGGTCAAGAGGATAGCATGTCGAAGGACACCTTCCTCAACTCAGGATGGTTAATGATGCGACCAATCTATACCATGGACAAAGGAATGTTCACTCCCCCTTCATCCACACCATCCCCTCCCGAGAAGACCCTCGCTCCTCCCCCACCTGTGTTTGATGAGGTATATATTGCTTTCATTTTTGTATCTATCTTGATAGTGTTTGGAATTGCAGCAGTTTTTAATTATACAAAGGAACTCTTAATTACGTTTACAAATTTATTATGGCATTTATTAGGTAAGGCAGCCCCTTAAGGCAGAATGCAGTATTAGTGCTGGTTTATTTGACTAAGGCCTGTCCTGGGAGGCTTTCATTTGAATAAGCTTGTTTCAGGTTGTTGCATGTGGACTTGCAACAAAAAAACTGCAATCTTAGTATTTGTTGACTGGTGATCTAAAAGTAAATTTAAGAATGTAGCAACTTCATATTTTAGTGATCTACTTCAGAATCTGATGAATAGTAAAGCCTCCCTAATAGTTTTATTAAAAGTATTATTTAATTTTAGTAGTTGTAATGGTTGTGCTCGGGGCTTCTTGTGTTGGTCAACTAAAACAGTTTGAACTTGTGGTTGCACTTTATCTGTTAAAGTAGTGCAGATAATATAATGATATTAGTCACAATATTTTTTATTCATTTTTTTCTCTTTTTCTCTGGGCTGGTGCCTCCCCACCTTTATGATAGTGGGCAATAGGTTTTGTCTCCTTTTTTATACGTTATGATAAAGGTCTAATATAACACGAACACATTTATTTTGCTCACAATATGTAGTTGGTTATAGTTTCTCACTTTACAACCAGCATGTTAAGAGATTTAATAGTAAACATCATCTTCACAGTTATGTTTATTATACTGTATAGCAAATGTAAAAAAAAAAATTGTTTTATCTTTTAGAATATCTTCCATTTGTTGTGTTTTAATTTACATGTATTTGTAGGGTTCAGTAAATACTTAGCCCATGTTGGAAGCCAGTGTGATGTATTTTTTCTTAATTTGTGGACTGAGAGTACAATAGATTTTTCTATGGGGAGCCCTGTCGGCTCCCTGAAGCTATCCGAACTGATATATATAATATCCACTCAATTTAACGACCTAAATGGGGCTGTACCCAGGTCGTTAAATCCGTTTTTTTAACATGTCTGACATTTTAGTCATATTTGGGAGAGCAACAGGATGGATGTGGGTGGGCAGGCAAGTGGGCTGGATGGATGGATGAATGGGTAACTGGCTAGCTGGCTGGCAGACAGGCAGATAGGAGTAGGGGTGGGCAGGTGGACTGGCTGGTTAGTGGGCAGGCAGGGTGGGTGAAAGGATTGGTTGCTGCCTGGCAGGTTGGCCAGCAAGTGAGGAGCATGGATTGGTGGCTGACTGGTGGGTGGATGGGCAGTGGGGGCAGGTGGGTGGGCAGGGTTTATGGCTGGCAGGCAGGGTTTATGGCTGGCAGGCAGGGTTAGCAGGTGGGTGGGCAGAACGGGGTGGATGGATGGATGGATTGATGGCTGACTGATTAGAGGGTGGGCAGGCTGGCAGGGTAGGTTCAGGCTGGTAGGCGGACTTGGGTTTGAGTAGGTAGGCGGGCGTAGGTGGGTTCAGGTAGGTATCGGGTAGACAAGCAGGCTGGCTAGCAGGCTGGTGGGATGGCTAGCAGGCTGGCTGGCTGGCTGGCTGGCTGGCTGGCTGGCTGGCTGACTGGCTGGCTGGCTGGCTGGTTGGCTGGCTGGCTGGCTGGTTGGCTGGCTGGCTGGCTGTGGCTGGCTGTGGCTGGCTGTGGCTGGCTGGCTGGGCTGGGCTGGGTGGGTTTTTGGCCAGGTAGGTGGGCTTGAGTGGGTTTAGCCGGGTGGGCGACTTTTGGGGTGGATTTGGCCGGGTGGGCGGGTTCGGGCATGAAAATGCCCGAATGCTTATGCTTAACCAGCCCACTCCCATGAAGAAAATAACATGATGTTTAACAGTGATAAATTTCAGGTACTCAGGTATGGCAAAAATGAGGATCTGAAACATAATACAGGGTACAAAACACAATCGAATCTTTCCATAGTAGAAAAACAGCATGTCAAGGATTTGGGAATAATGATGTGCGACAATCTAACGTTTAGGGAGCATAACCAAGCAAATATTGCGTCTGCCAGAAAAATGATAGGATGGATTACGAGAACTTTCAAATCCAGGGATCCCATCACAATGGTTGTACTTTTCAAGTCACTTGTGTTGTCCCATCTTGAGTACTGCTCAGTACTCACTTTCCCTTTCAGAGCAGGAGAGATTGCTGAAATAGAGAATACAGAGAACATATACGGCACGCATAGACGCGATAAAGTGCCTAAATTATTGGGATCGTCTCAAAGCTCTCTAAATGTACTCACTAGAAAGGAGACGAGAGAGATACCAAATAATATACACATGGAAAATACTGGAGGGCCAGGTCCCAAATCTACACAGTAAAATAACATGCTGGAGTAAATGATATGGAAGAAAATGCAGAATAGAACCAGTGAAGAGCAGAGGTGCCATAGGCACCATCAGAGAACACTATAAACATCAGAGGTCCGCAGTTGTTCAATGTCCTCCCAGCGACTATAAGAAATATAGCAGGAACAACCATGGACATCTTCAAGAGAAAACTAGGCTGTTTTCTAAAAAAAAAAGTACCGGACCAACCGGGCTGTGGTGGGTATGTGGGCCTGCGGGCCCGCTTCATGCAATAGTCTGGTGGACCAAACTCACAAGTCAAGCCTGGCCCGAGGCCAGGCTTGACTTGAGTTTGGCTGTCCGCATTTCGTAACTGGAAATATGCGGGAAACCCAGCTGAGAGACGAGGTCATTTCAACCATGTCCCCCAACGAACCCACTCCGAAATGACTGGACCGATGGATCGGGAAGAAATTTACTCTTTAGACCCAATCCCCTGAAGGGAAGAGGGGCCTCCCAGTGCCACCGATGTCCGCAAGAAATAACCAGAAAAGCCCATGAATAGTGGGACCAGGCATGGGCAAAACGATCCAGCCCCCAATCGCTGGGATGGAGCTAGAGCAACTACTTGCCCAAATTCACCCAAGCCTGCCTATCTGCCCAAACCCACCCGAACCCACCCAAGCCCGCCTACCCAGCCAAACCCACCAGAACCGTGGAAAATAATTGAGGGGCTGGTCCCAAACCTGCACACAGAAATAACATCACATGAGACCAGAAGACATGGCAGGATGTGCAGAATACCCCCTGTTGAAAAGCAGAGGTGCAACAGGTACTCTGAGAGAGAACTCTATCAACATTAGAGTCCCGAGACTGTTCAACACGCTTCCGCTACACATAAGGGGCATAACTGGCAGACCCCTCAGTGTTCAAGAGAGAACTGGATAAGCACCTCCAAAGGATACCTGATCAACCTGGCTGTGACTCATACGTCAGGCTGCGAGCAGCCGCATCTAACAGCCTGGTTGATCAGTCCAGCAACCAGGAGACCTGGTCGATGACCGGGTCGCGGGGACGCTAAGCCCTGGAAGCACCTCAAGGTAACCTCAAGGTAAGGAGCCCGCCTACCCGCCCTGCTTGATAACTGCTTGATGGGGTTCTGGGAGTTCTACTCCCCAAGCCCGGCCCGAGGCCAGGCTCGACTTGTGAGAGTTTGGTCCACCAGGCTGTTGCTTGGAGCGGCCCACGTACCCACCACAGCCCAGCTGATCCGGAACTTCTCTTAGAAAACAGTCCAGTTTTCTCTTGAAGATGTCCACGGTTGTTCCGGCAATATTTCTTATAGTCGCTGGGAGGACGCTGAACAACCGCGGACCTCTGATGTTTATACAGTGTTCTCTGATTGTGCCTATGGCACCTCTGCTCTTCACTGGTTCAATCTTGCATTTTCTTCCATATCGTTCACTCCAGTACGTTGTTATTTTACTGTGTAGATTTATTCTACTGTGTACATTTATTCACCTCCGGGTTGCTCATGTGCCGCCTGAGCCTTCTTGTTCAGTGGACTGGGTTCTTTCTATTTTTTCTTCTCCTCGGTTTGTTGTATCCCATTCGGTTCATGATTTTTTTGAAGGGTGTTGTTTTTGTTGGCAATGGCCTCTGGGGGTCGGGCTGGGGAGTTTCATGCTCTTCACTGCTGCTGGGGGTTTTATTTCTTTGGTCCTGGTGGTCGTTTTGTTTGTTTGTAGCTGTTTCCTTCTCTTCTGGCGAAGAATAAGTCGATGGGCTTTCGAAAGGGTCCGTTGGTTATGGATGCTTTGTTGGTTAGACTAGGGGTGCATCACATTGTGTGTCCGGTAGCTGCTTTACATCACTATCTGCAGGCCACCGATTCTGTGTCGGTGGATGCACTTTGGGTTGATCGGGTTTCCCTGGTTACCTGTTCCAGGGCTTTTGTTTCTTAGGTTGTGTACAGTATTATTAAGTCTAGTCAGCCTGCAGTCTACCCTTGCACCGATGATGTTTGAAAGTAGAACGCTCTTTCGGTTGTCTTTGGTAATGTGTCTTGGAATGATATTCGGGTGAGAGGGTTTTGAAGGTCGAACAGAGTCCTGGCTGCCAGGTATCTCGTAAACATCAGTTACTCTGTGGCCTTGTGTGGCCTTGGGACACCTGTCGTGGCCAACTATCTCGTCCTTGCTTTGAGACCTGCAGTGCTGCTGCCTTCCTGGTAAGTCCCTGTTTGCCTTCTCTGTGGATAGTTACCCACAGAAAAGCAGAGTTGAATGTAATGAAATGCCAGTTTCTGGTGAGTTGGTGAGTCCCAGAGTCTCCCTGACACCCTCCCTCCTTTTTGTCGGTGGCTTTTATCATTCCAGAACTGAAGTGGTGGGTTGCCGGCTCACCCAGGCCGGCTTCCATTTTTCCCGTGTAAGGGGAAGGGGAGCACTAATGAGTTGGAGGGGGTGGGGGACGCTAGTTTGGACAGCCAAACTAGCCGATAGCTGAGTTCGTATAGCTTCAGGGGGGCCTCTGGGGCTCACCCAGACACTGACGTTTCATTACATTCAACACTTTTTTTTTGCCAGTCATCTTTAACATCTATCTATATTCAATAAATTATATACCGCTGTTAAGCACATTGTCTTTTAAGATTTAACTATTCAGTATATATTTTTGTTTGCTTTTATTCACCATGTTTTCTCACCCCTACAGGACAACTACCAGACAGAAGAGGAAGAGGAGCCTGAAGATTTTGACTCTAACTTGGACCCTGAGGTATTTGTCATTATGACACAATGAATGTGTTTCTGCCTGGTCCTTGTCTCTTGGTTGTCATGTCTTTGCATTGCTATGGGGTTCATTGCTTTGTCTTGCTTAAGCATCATCTACATAGTAAACCAAAGTATTATAAATGTATTTCTGTGGGGAGCCCCTACGGCTCCCTGGAGCTATCAGGCTAATATGAGATATTAGACCAGGCCTTTAGTCAATGAAGTTCAGCCTACCTGGGACCACAAACCAGAACCTGGCCCCCTCAGAGACAAAACAATGGCCTGTAGAAACCCCCCTATGTGGTGGGGGCATTCTATGTCTGCCATTGACCAGGGTTGGCACCCAGAAAGGTAGGCATAACAAAACAAACCCCACTTGGTAACAAAATGCGACCGAAAACTGAGCAGGGAGGCAGAACTCGTCCTACAACTTAAGAAAATGAGCAAACAAGCAAATGTTACACCTCACTGCCATGCTGCCTGTCTGCTCCGCCCCCCCCCCCCCCCCCCTCCCGATGTGGTGTGGGCTCCCAGCTGATCTGCTTGATTGCTCGCCAGGGGTGTGGTTCTTTCCCAGCTTGCTGGGAAAGCTTGCCGGTTCTGGTTCCTGGTGAACTGGCGGAAGTCCCATCTGGTTCCATTCCAGGTTCAAACCTGGCTGGGTCTTGTGTGGGACTCTTGGACCACTTCCTTGTCTCGCCTTCCGGAGTCGTTGCTGCGGCTGCAGTCCCACCTTCTGCTGTTTCGGGTGGGGGTTTCCGGGTCACTCGGTGGTTGCTCGTTATGTTGTGTGGGAGTCTGAACTTTGCCATGCTGGTTTACCTGCCAGGTCAGGTCTGGCTTTGGTATCTGTTCTGGTTCCTTCGAGGTCCTCCCTTCCGCCTCTCTCACGATTGCTGGGTTCGGCCTCCAGGGCCTTGCGTCAGTTGTTGCGTTGCTGGCTTCCTCTTGGGGTTTTTCGGGGTTCAGTGCCTTGGTGCCTACCTGAACCCTTGCTCAATGTGTTTACGGATGCTTTGTCTCTTGGCTGGGGTTTTGTGACTAGTGCTCACCAGGCCGGCCAGGGACGGTGGGGTCCATCCTTCCATCGGTCTCATAGCATGGTGCGGGAGTTTGTGGCAGGTTGGCTGTTGCTTCGGAGGGTTCGAGTCATTCGACGGTCGACGATCCGGCTCCATTTGGACTGTTCTCTTCGGTCCTTGCCTCTTTGGGCCTGGTCGCTTTGAGTGACTCGTCTGTTGAATTCTCTGGGTTTTGCTCTCCAGGCAGTTTATGTCCAGGGAGTGCCCAACTTCCTGATGGACAGATTGCCCCGGTTCATTCCCCTGTCCACAGAATGGATGGTTGACGCCGACTCCTTCAGTTGGCTCTACTGGACAAAGAGGTGGACCTCTTCACGTCGGCGTGGTCTCGGCGTCTCCTGACATGTGCCGCCGTTGCAGTAGACGCCTTTCAGCAGGACTGGTCAAGGTGAGGTTACCGGTCTCTCAAATCCAACAATTGGTTATGGGCTTGCCTTATGTGGAGGTTTACCAGGGGAGAGTTGTTCTGTTGGCCCTTTGGTGGCTGGCCCAACCTTGGTTTCAGGCGCTGCTTGCTCAGTGTCCAAACCCGTGATGCTTTCCGCGGCTCCGCCTCTTTCAGCAAATCGGTCTGGTCAGGAACCGAGCTGGTTCGGTCTTCTCTTCCGCTCTCCGCGTCTGGTCTTTTTGACATGGGGTCTATCACCATTTGTATGGTGATCAGTTGGCTTCGGTAATAGTGTCTCACCTGCGAGCTTTGTCTCGGCGAGAGTATGAACTTTCCTGGCATTCTTTCTGCCATTTTCTCTCTCTTTGTAGGTTGTCTTCTGTTTGTGATCGGGTTGTCTTGTCCTTTCTTGTTTTTTTCAGGGCCGTCATTTGATGCCAAATACTGTCGCCTCATATTGTGCTGCACTGGCGGAGCCTCTCCTGCTTGCATTCAGGGTGGATGTTACTTCGGCCCCGTTTCGTAAGATTTCTCGTGCTTTGTTTCACCTCCAGCTTGCTCATGTGCCACCTGAACCATCCTTATCCTTGGACAGGGTGCTCTCTTTTCTGTCGTCTCCGTTCGTGGTGGCCCCTTCGGTTAAAGTTTGTTTTCCCTAGGCCCTCTTTCTGTTGGCATTGGCCTCTGAGTGTCGGGTTGGTGACCTTCATAGTGTCCTCTGGCACAGGTTTCTCCTCTTTTGGTCTGGGTGGTAGGTTTGGTTGCAGTCTTCTCATTCTTTTCTGGCAAAGAACGAGACAGCTGCTTTCAGGAGGGGTCCTTGGGTGGGTTGTTGATGCTTGGTTGGTGAGGCCGGGAGTGCAACATGTATTGTGTTCGGTTGCAGCTCTTCTCCATTACTTGCACGCCTCGGCTTCTTTGGCCAGGGATGCACTTTGGGTTGATCCATTTTCCCTGGTTCCCAGTTCCAGAGCTCGGGTCTCCCAGGTCGTCTGCAGGATCATTCAGTCTAGCCAGCCTGCGGTCTCTCCTTGTGCCCACGAAGTTCGTAAGTTTGCAGCTTTGACTGCCATCTTCAGCAATATGTCCTGGGCTGACAATCGGGCACGAGGATTTTGGAGGCTGAACAGAGTTGTAGCCACGCGTTATCTCGTCAACTTTCCTGGCCCTTGTCGTCTATGTGTGGCTTTGCAGCCAGTTATCTTGACTTCGAGTTGAGGAGCGAGTGGCATCCGCCTCCCGGGTGAATGCCTAATTTTTTCTCTTTGGTGATGTAGCTCCAGGGAGCCATAGGGGCTTCCCCCATAAGAAAATCAGCATTAAATCTAATGAAATGCCATTTTCTGGGTGAGCCCCAGAGGCCCCCTGACAGTCCTCCCTTCCTCCGGTTGGTGATTCCGTTTCCTTTTTGATTCCTCAGCTTCCGAACTGAATGGCTTGGGTAGCCGGCGTGGAGGGGTCCGTGGCTCCCCCTCCCCCTCCCGGGGGGAGGGGGGGGGAAAACTCCCCGGATAGGCAGTGAGGTGTGACATTTGCTTGCTTGCTTGTTTCCATAAGTTGTAGGGTGAGTTCTGCCTCCCTGTTCGATCTTCGGTCGCATTTTCTTACCAAGTGGGGTTTGTTTCATTATGCTTATGTTTCTGGGTGCCAACCCCACTTGATGGCAGGCATGGAATGCCCCCAACCACATGGGGGGGTTTTGCTCTCTTTGCTCCCTTTGCCTCTCTGAGGGAGTCAGGTTCTGGCTCGTGGTCCCTGGTAGGCTAAACTCCATTGACAAAAGCCGTGGTCTAATGTATCGCATACTGGCCCAATAGCTCCAGGGAGCCTCCGGGGCGCCTCCGGAACCCACCTAGAAAATGGTGCTTCATTACATTCAACGCTGGTTTTTTATTCATATTCTTTTTTGAATTAAAAGAAAGTGGTGATTGGTGCAGATATATGCAAAGAAGTATGAAACTGCATTGCCATAAAATAATTTTTCTGAAGGTGAAGGAAAGACCCAATTTATGTGTTAAGGTATTAAAACTACACATTCGAATGTAACCTTCAATCTTCCAAGGTACTGTATACAATGTTTGTATACAGTACAAGAGAACATTGTATGCAGTATCTTGATAAAGGATGTAAAGATACATCTAAAAATTTGTTTTTTAATACACTTAAATATAAATTGGGCCTTTCTTTCAACTTGATTCAAGCACTATGGCTTTATAGTAGGTTTCTCCATCATTTTATTAGTCTTCCAGGTTTTAGATAGATGTTGATTTAGATATTCTCAGTGTTGGAGTGGTGGCCTTATTTGGTGCTCAGTGGTTCAAATTTTTGGCACTTTGAAATTAGGCAGATTTTTTTCCATGGGTAATGGAAGATAGGTCAATATATAAATAGTTGTTAAAATGATCTTTGATAAGTTTTGAAAATTTTCAAGATATCTAGAGGTACTGTACATTTAGGTCAACACTAAAATGAGAGATGATGATAATCGAGCTCTCAAGTGGTCACAATCTTTGAGTAAGCCTTTGATCAGGTATCCAAAGGATACCTGATCAACCAGGCTGTGACTCATAGGTCAGGCTGCGAGCAGCCGCGTCCAACAGCCTGGTCGACGACCGGCCGCGGGGACGCTAAGCCCCGGAAGCACCTCAAGGTAACCTCAAGGCAAGCCTTGACTGAGAATTATACAACTTTTTTTTTAAATTAACACTAAACCCCCACATTATATGTGAATTGAAAGTGATATTTTCATCCATTATCAATCATTATAGAATACTCTACGCAAAATTAAAAAGATACGATAGAACATTGTCTAGTTTAGATATTTGGTAATTTTTGCTTTTACATAATTCATATTTTTGTTTTTTTTACTAGTGTTAGGCTGTCGTATGTGCAATAAATGCATATATTTAGTTGTTATTTGATTGGCAGTAACTGTGAAGTACACTGAAGCATTTCCAGGTTTCCTAAGTTTTGTTTTGAAGACGAACAATTTTACTGTTGCTATTTAACTTGAAGTATTTAATAATTGTTTGTGCAGCATTGCAAGAGTGTTACTACAGCACATCACTAGTGGTGAAAATGCAGCAGGCCAGGGATAAGGATGGGTTGATCTTTGCTAAGACATTGTTAAAGATTAGGGAGGCAGATGTTCAATCTTTTATATTGCAAGTAGTGTCCAAATTGGGGGGGTCACAATGGTGAGGTTATTTAAGTCAGATGATTTGAGATTTCCATACTGAATTATCATCTCAACATTTAAATAACTCATTAGATTTGTATATAGACAAATTATATGAAACATGATTAGCTTCACTTGGAAAAGAATTTTGAAATCCTTTGCTCAAATAGCTATCAAAGAAAAAAAAGTTTGTAAATATTATAAAACTATTTTTCACGTTAACAGATACTAACCTGACCAAATTTTTCTTGCCATCATTGTCAAGCAGATATCACGCTACGTAAACTCCAGAGCTAACTGGGACCTTATGTCGGTGAGGGGTGCTGACGCTTGGTGCATGATTAATGTTG